ATTGGTCATTTTCATTTCTTTATCAAACGCAGGACATGCGCCAAACGTTGGGTTTGTCTTCGCCAATTTTCTTGCTCACGAAGGCTATTATTTGAACATTGCAACTGTTGGTACAGAACTGGTCCAACACTCCTCTGAGTGCGCGTTCAAGTGTCTCGCGAAGGATCCATGTTTGTCCTTCAACTTGGCAGATTTGGATGATAACATTGACAATCTGCTATGTGAACTGCTTCCATCTGACCATTACACCCATTCAGACAAGTTCATCACCAACCATCTTTGGTATCACCACAGTATTGCGGTAAAATTCTTCTTCTTTTTCTACTTTATCTTATTATCACGTTTTATTATCATTATTATTATTTCATCCTGATAATAACTAAAACCAGTTGAAAGCATTTGAGCAAATTTTATTCAGTTGTTTAACATAAACATATCTCTCGTTGCAAGCCATTTTAGTCGTTTTTTTACTATTCGTCCCTAGTCGGTTTTTATCAAGGGAGTAAGTAATTGATTTTCTCGGTCTTAGTCTCCTTGCTCGATGTTGCCCTGTCAAAACGATGGAACTTGTGTACCTCTTTACCGGAAAAACAGCTACAAGTGTCGCTGTACGAAAGCGTACACAGGAAGCCACTGCGAAAAAGGTAAAGTTTTAGTTTCTAGAACAATATTTTCAAAAATATTTCGCGGGCGTGCTTGCCGTATCTGATTCCTACTGAGTCATCACTCGTCGCCATTTGACTTCACACTGGCTTACTTTTGCAATCAGAAATTTTCCAATAATTACTTATTTTCCCTATTCTTTATACATCAGTTGATAATGACTGCAGCTGTTCCTCGGGACCAGAAGGAAAACAGAGATGCAAAATAGGTCAGTTAATATTCCACCTTAGAGCTAAGGTAGCTCGAAACAGTTTTCCGAGACACCTATACCGAATACATATTAAAAGCGCTCAAAAAGCGATTATCCCTTCACGAAGTCCAACGAAATTTACACGCGTTCAGAAAACGATTTAAGTTTGAAGTAGTGCGCGTTTCGAGGCAACCACAGTTAATATGCTTATACACAGGGATTTCCCGTCACACAGTTTTTTGGGTCAATCTCGTAAAATCTTCTATAGATTTTTTCTCAACTTAGATATTTTGGTTTTGGATCTGAACTTGATTAAGAGATCGGTATATGAATAATTTCGCGTAGAAGCTGGAAAATTAGGAGTAATTTTGAATTTTGAGTCATTCAATTTGTTGATATTTTCTCAAATGCGAGGATACGGCCCAAAAAGAATTTTCCTGAGGTTGAGAAAAAAAATATATTGAAGATTCTACGAGATCAACCCAAAAAACTCTTTAGTGCCTGTGACATGAAATTTCATTAATCGGCATTTTTCTTAGCTGATTTCATTGTTTATCTTCCCCTGAATTGACTAAAGCTAGTGGTGTATGTTCGTAACAGGCGTCTTCGGAGCCAGTAAGGAGCATAAGGCTGACGAAATTGAAGTGTAAAATCTCCTCGACATCGACGATCAAAACGTGTCCACTTTCGCCATATAGCTACATCCTTTGGAAAGTAGTGTGTAGAAATACCCGGTATATGTGTATTATTCTTGTAGGCTAACATCATTTGGCGCTCCGGCCATCCAATACGTTCGTCCTTTCTTTTAGGTTTCTCCTTTCTCTACCATAGTGGCCGACATGTCTTCACAGTTTTCTACGTCACAGCTATGTAACGATAGTTTGGGCCGCGCACTTCATCTCCCTTCTTTTCATGCCCAAAAAAATGGTCAAAGAGAATTCGGAAGCGCTAAGGTCGATTATTTCTAATTTTAAAAACAGCTATCAACCAGAAAATACAAAACAATACATGTCATAGGCACTTAAACAGTATTTCCCCATAACATGCACATATCAAAAGTGATTGCCATGACACCTGCTACGTCAAAATTTAAACCGTTGGTGAACACATCAGAAAAATTCGTTGAACTGCGGAAAGGAAAATTTTCTTTTGAGCGCTTTCAATGCAGTCGGTGGGTGTCTAAAAAAACTGCTAGCTGTTTCCAGCCATATTCATCATCGACTTGTAAGAGATAGAGGAAACCGTAGACCTCCTGCTCGAATGAAACTGAATTTACCTATTATGGCAGAGCCAGCACAGCGCTCATAAGTCGTGCAATCAATCAATCAATCAATCAATTTATTTAACGTAGTCAGAACGCTTAGCTAAAAGCTAGTTTACAGGTACGCCACGAAATAAAAAGAGAAAAGGAAATTATAAAGCCTTGTGAAGGTATATAAATTTAAATAAATTAAGATTAAGAACTAGCTAATATTAAAATATAAGAATTTAACAATGTTGTCACCAAGTAAAATGTATAAAATGTAATCATTAAAAACAGTAAATATAATAAAGGATAGATCCTCACCGCACTAAAGTCCCGTGAGATCTAATGTTTTTAAGTAATTTTTAAAAGCAGTAAATGTTTGTATCTTTCGAGACTCGTCCGGTAAAGCGTTCCATAATTTCGATGCAGCATATCTCCATGATCTTAACCCGAAGGTTGTTGATTTTACTTTTGGGAGGTCCAGTATTGTGGTGCCCCTAAGGTTATAAGTGGAGCACCTAACTGTTATAAGATCACGTAAGCTTTTTGGACCTGCATCACTGGCTAATATCTTAAAGACAGTGGACAATATTTTCGCTAATCGCTGTTCACGAAGACTTGAGAGACCGATACGCTTGCAAAGTTCCTCATAAGGCGAGGACTTATCTCTAAAAACAAAACGGAGCGCACGTCTGTTCACCAACTCTAACTTGTCAGATGACTTTTTATTACAGAAGTGCCACGTTTCGGAGCAGTAATTAAAGTGTGGTAAAATGAAAGCTTTATAAAGATCCCTTCTAGTCTCAAAAGACAACATTTTCTGCATCCTTTTTAATACGGCGACTTGTTGACTGACTTTTCTACATATTTTAGCAATGTGCTTTTCAAAATTTAATTTATCATCGATTGTCACGCCAAGAAGTTCCATTATGTTGGATATGGGAAGTTGTGACTCCTCACACTTAAACACTGGTTCATCAGTTCCTTTGTGTTTTCCCAATACCATAGCCTGGTATTTTGAACTGTTCCTCTTCATACCATTAGCGCAAACCATATATCAGCACTAATAAGATCATTGTTGATTGTTTCTTCAACTTTGGAGAGTTGATTGTCGGCGAAAAAGATTTGAGTGTCATCAGCGTAAGTGGACAGAGTGCACTTCTTGATGACATATGAAAGATCGTTCATGAAGATGTTGAATAATAAAGGGCCGAGGATGGATCCCTGTGGTACACCATTGCATATAGGTTGCCAATTGGAAAGCGTATCCCCAGTCTCACCCTTTGGAATCGATTTGATAAATAATCTTTTATCAGGGAGGTTGTTGCTTCATCTGCTCCATATTCTTTTAATTTCAAAACAATCAGTTCATGAGGTAAGGTGTCGAAAGCCTTGGACAAGTCCATAGAGACCAGATCGATCAATTTATTATTATCAATTTCTTTTTTCCATTGTTCGGTTAGACTAAGAAGTGCTGAGTCGCAGCCGTGATATTTCCGAAAAGCAAACACATATTTGTGATAAATTTCTTCAAAATACGGGCTTATTCGGCAATGAATAATTTTTTCGAAAACCTTCGATAAAGCTGGCAGAATCGTTATCGGCCGATAGTTAGTTTTTAATAGGCTGCAGTCTTTTTTGAGAATTGGAGTGACCTCGCCAAGTTTCCACTGTTGTGGTATCTTAGTTGAAGTTAAAACATGATTAATCAGTGTACTAAGAGGGAAGCATAAGACATCCATCGATTCTTTAACTGCTAGTGGAGGGATCCCATCACAACCAGAAGCCTTGTTTGGAGCAAGTTTCCTCATTACCTCGTAAACTTCTGTTGGATTAGTGTTGCTTAGCGACACATTCGGCCTGCTTATTAAGTTATTTGATATGTGCGATAAATCTACTGGATAGCCGTTTTGATTTTGTTTTTTGGTACTTTGAGTACAGCTTGTGAAGAAATTATTTAATGTCTCGGTCACCTCTTGAGGATTCCTGATGGTTTTGTCACCCTCCTTTAATGATATTCCGCTATTGTCTACATTCTTCCGGGAATTAACATAAGGCTTGATGGCACGCCAAAACTTCTTTTGATCTGCATATTTTTCCGAACACAGCTTCTCAAAATGTCTACGTATAGATTTTCTTCTCATACTAACTACTTTGTTGCGCACTAGACGGTAGCTCTCCCAATCACACTGATTACGTGATCTATTAAATTTTTTCTTAAGCCGTTTTCGTTCCACCATTTCTCTCCGAATTTCAGGAGTGATAAACTTCGATTCTACTGAAGATCGTCGTTTGAAAGATCGCATTGGTGCGTGGTCATCTAACACCTAGTTATATAACGTCTCCCAGCACCAGTAAACATCGTCTATATCATCAAAAACGTATGCAGCATGAAAAGGAACTCGACTGAGATCTTTCTGAAAATCATCTCGGTTAAAGGTCTTGAATATCCGTTTCTTGACGACTTCGGCGTTAGCATGTAACATTTTAGTTTTGAGAACCGTGTAAACTAGCAGATGATCACTGATTCCTGTTTCGATAGCGCCAGACGATTTCATAAACATGGGCACATTTGAAAGAATGACGTCCAGGCAAGAAGCTCTAGTTGTTGAAATTCTTGTCGGTTCTTTAATTAATGTGTCGAGGTCATAGATATCGCAAATATCCAAAAGGCATTTGCCTTGGTTATTATTCATAAACGGATGAATTATGTCACAATTTAGATCACCAAGACAAACCACGTTTACGCAGAGAGATATCGCTTGATCCAGGACTGTAGTCAATTCAGTTCTGAAAGTAGCATTGTTAACAGAAGGAGGCTTGTAGGCACTGACTAAAGCAAAGCGTCTTTGTCCGATGTGTAGATCGAATAAGAGTGATTCCACTGATGTTGTAATGCCTTTCTTACATGTTGCGGCGATGTTATCGCGAATAAAGACGGCAAGACCGTCACCACCTTTCGTCCTGTCACGGCGAAATAACTTGTACCCGTTAACATAAAATTGAGAGTTAGGAAAGGATCGATCGATCTTAGTTTCCTGTATGGATAGAATGTCGAAGGCTCTGTTCGTTAGCCACTCCTTGATCTCCTCAAATTTGCTTGGTAAACTGTTTACATTTAGGTTTGCTATGATGCATTCCTTGCGATTTTCGTTTCTAATTAACTTCATGTCCGAACGTTGTGAACTAAGGTCCAGCTCAGTGTCGCTCGCGCTTTCATGCGTGGAACTATTCAAGGTGGAAAAGAATGAATCGCTAGGTAAAATTTCCGCACAGCCCCATCCTACATTGTGCATTCAGTTCTTGAACAGAGGAAACAATGACAAAAACAATACATTTCCGTTGGGAAAACAGATTTGTTTTACAATAGTATGGGGCTGTGCGGAAACTTTACCGGATAGGTAAAATTTCCGCACAGCCCCATCCTACATTGTGCATTCAGTTCTTGAACAGAGGAAACAATGACAAAAACAATACATTTCCGTTGGGAAAACAGATTTGTTTTACAATAGTATGGGGCTGTGCGGAAACTTTACCGGATATTTCGTAGGCTTCTTTCTCGGACCAGGGTTAGGTGAAACATCTCCATAAATCAACAATCTTTGCGCTTGAAATGTACCTACACCAGTAGCAGTGAATAATAATCTTCCTCCATTAAAACGCCTCGATGCGAGCTTGAAAGGTAGTTTGTAGTAAGCACTTGACGTTGTTAAGTGGAGTGAAATAACCAGTCGCGTACAGCGTTCGGGATGCATAAAACTGCAGTTTGATGACTCACGAAATTCTCGTAGAAATACGACAAGGAATAAAAGACACAATAATGTGCCGCCCATACGGACGTGTCTGACTGCCATGATGGCCTGGTTACTTGTCTTTCCAAAATTTTCTCTGCATGCGTGAGAGGATCAGTTTTTGCCAGGTGCGTGCCAATTTCTCACGCAAAGCTGGGAGAGGAACTGGGGTAGAACAAGATAATTTGGTAATGTCACCTGAGTTGAAAACGTAAACTAGCCGACCGATAACACTTTCAAAGCTGACGTTTGGAGCGTTGGCCCTTCGTTGGAGGGAAGGGTTAAACTCTTAACAGAGGCCAGTTTACGTTATCAACTCAACTTGATAATTCCAAATTACCAAACTTAATCATGTGTTTCTTGTTAATTCACTTTTTTGATTTGAGCTTTATCAAAAACGTTGTACACCTAAACTTACAATTTTGTGTGGTGGCTTAAAGCTTCTGCCAGACAAATTGGTTCTGACAATTTGAAAGCGCGCTACCCAACCGACACAAAAGTCGCACTTGCGCAGACGTTTGCGGGCTAAGTTGACTGTGCCACTCGCCAGCAAAGTACTAAGCTACGTCTGAGAGGACGAAAACTACTAAAATCGGATTAACTTACCATGTGAACGGTGCCTGGTAACAGATTTCGATAGTTTGACTTGTTTTAGTTTACAAACTCCGTTCAACCACCTTTTCATCAATGAAGCTGGTGGACGGACAATCGAAAAACATAAACGGCGGTAGCAGGTTAAAAGCAGAACTCACAGAAGACAGCCAAACGAAAAAACTAAACACCCACGTAGCTGAGCTAAAGTATAGTATATATAATTTCGGAACAAGCGAGTCGGTAAGCAGCAACAGAAGAACTACTGAGGTAACAACGGTTTGTAAACATGCCAAGCGCCGTAATTGACGTTATTATAACGTGAGCAGAGACGAAAATCCTCAAAGGGGAAACGAAATGATATGTCCAAGTTTTAAAGGATTTCACGTAAACTTACCTACGGTAATAAATATCGAACACAACTAACACCCGTATAGTATATATAGTGTCGTGTAAAAGTGGTGGTGTAGTAACGAAGGCAAAAAAGCACAAGCGCGTGCACAAATACACGCACACACTTGGGTGCGTGTACATGCATATTCACTAGTAAGTGATAACTTCGTATTTTGCCTTCTTCACTCTATGCATTAACCACGACATCTATACGACGATTCTTCATACTCTACTCTGTTAATTACTACATTATTGCCTTACACATTTGATGAGGGTGCAACTCGAACCAGCCACCTCGCAAAGAAACTGCGAGGGCAAACTATGAATTAACTAAGTAACTAGAACTGCGGGTCATCCAAACTTGACAACAAGGCAGGATTGAGTCTTATTCTATGTTGCTTACAAGTGAACACTGTTATGCTATCGTCCCCGATAAGCATGCAGCATTTATGAAGAACACTAGAAGATATATACAAATACTGAATACTTCTGAAGTGGGAAAATTAAATGAAGAAATTTCAGTTGCTCAAACAACTGTCTAAAATTTCTGCAATTCATTTTCTTTGTTATAGAGTACCTTATGGTGTTTCCGGAGCCGCGTTCTACAGAAAATTACGCCATGAAGAATCCAGCCATAGCTTCAGATCTCAGCCAGTTGTCGCTGTGTTTTTTCATCAAACTTGTTCAAGACCATGGGGATCAGATTTTCGTCAGCTATGCCACTAAACAAAAGGACAATGACATGATTATCGAGATTTATCCAACACAAACAGATTTTTATGTTGGCGACGAGTTGTTACGGTAATGCTGGATATCGTGTTTTTTAACAGTCGGTCGGGGAATTTCTTATTCAAACCACAATAAGTCATGATACAGGAAATGCTACGATTGGCTCCTTCCTGACGCTAGAAGAGAGAGAGAAAGTTGAACATACAAACAAACGAAAAGCCTTGGCTTCCTTCTCTTTACTTATCATGATTTAAATAACAAACATGTTAATCTTTGACCAAAACAAATCTAGACGTATTTTCCTTACGCTTTGCAAATGACTATTCTGGTCGCTTATTTAAAATGTGATTTAGATCACTATGCTCAATAGGACACAGAAGTCTATTAAGAGACGAGGATTCGTTTATTACGGTTCCAGCCATAAAAGGATGAGATTTCTTAACCAACCCGGCTTTCGACATAGTAGCTCAGATGATACTTTGATATAGCATAGATGAAATTAGCTCATTAAGCATTTCATAAATAGAGAAAGATGTTTGTTGTCTCGTCACGAGCATGGGACCAAATAAAAATTTCTGATTCCTCATGAGGAATCGAACCTCAGACCTCCGGATTCTGCATTCCGATGCTCTACCACTGAGCCACGGAGACTCTACGGTGAGCAAGGTCTCTATTTTCCAAGTAATTGCATGAATAAGAGATTGATTGACTGACTGCATGAATGAATGAAAGCACTGAACGAATGGAAGCTTGACTGTACGAACCATTAAGTGATTGACAAACGATTGATTAACTGATTGACAATTTACTGACTGTTTTACGGACTGACTGACTGACAGACTGACTAGTTGACAGAGTGACTGACTGACAGGCCACTTACATATTACCTTTAACTAACCGACCCCTTACCGACAGACTGAATGACTCTACTGACTGACTTAGTGACAATGAAAATGGAGAGCCTTGAATAATCAAATATATTTTATATTGTTTGCTTTTTGTTTTGATCTTTTTTTTTTCAGGTTTACCTCGACAAATCTCTACGATGATACCTGGCAACACGTGTGTCTCACCTGGGGAAACACTCAGGGAGTAACGAAACTCTATAAAGATGGCCAATTTACCGGACAGGAAACGAATCATGCGACTAAGAATTATACACTTAAGGCTGGCGGCTCCCTGGTGCTTGGACAAGACCAAGACTCTGTCGGCGGAGGCTTTGATCGTAACCAAACTCTTCATGGCCGATTGGCAAGTGTCAACATGTGGGATAAAGTTCTGTCCGAAAGCGACATTGCCGCTCAGTACACAAATTGCAGCGTACCTCATGGTTCTGTTATTAACTGGTCTGCATTCAAAAATCTTACTCATGGCAATGTCACAGTTGAAGAGCCATGAACTACATTGGTCAGTGATCAAAACTCTTGCAGAGCCTAAAATCGTAACTCGCGTGATGGTAAATTCCTAATATTAGTGAATGTACCATATGCCTGGCTGGATCATGTGACATAGCACTAAAATAGCAATTGCAATATTATAGAAAACCAAAATATGAAATGATATTGCGTTGAAACGTTGCTTTTGTCTGAGCGGTTGGAAAATATTTCATTTATTTATTTACCTATTTACTCAGATGTTTGCCATTACGTTAAGACAGCTACTTGTTTTATAATATATTGTAAGCAGCCTTAATGACAGAAAAATTTTTTTTCTCTGTTCTGATTCATTCATGACACTCGAGAAGGAATTTAGAGGGCCTTTCAAGATCTTTAAAGATCCCAAAGAAATTTCAAACATTGAGAGGCAGACAAGACGAGCGCTGGTACTTTGAATGTGCGGCTATGAAAGCCTTATAAAATGATAATCACATATGTCCTGCCGCATATGATAAGTTGCGATTAGGAGAAAAGCCCGCATGTCCCTAATAAACTACCGTGCTCTATCGCTTTTCGCAACCTCTTCAAATACTTAGGGTGTTTCTGTTCAGTTTTTTTCTCGGAGTCCATGTCACTTGCCATCGAAAAACATCGCATGTCCTATAAGGGCCACAGAAGAAAAAAGATATAGGTAGGTTCTTTACAAATCTGATGTAAGCTTGCAGTAGTCTAGAAAATTCCAGAGTAAAATTAACAGAATCTGGAAATTCTACCGTTGACATCGTAATTTTAGAACTAGGGTAGGTACAATAAATGGATGGGAAGCCTTTAGAGGGAAAGTTTTATTGTTGCCTGGCCTACATTTTTAATGTTACCCGTTATGCAAACCCCCTCCCCCCTTCCCCTCCTCCCCCATATAGGACCTTACACTACATCCCTTTTGTATTGTTACTTGAAAACTGCATTATATTTGTCTTAGCCAATCAGAATGATGAATTTTTTCATGGATGTTTTCAATGCAAATCCTTGGGCTCAAGATTGCGCACTTTTTGATTGAGCATCATAAAAGTGTGAAAAAAGGGTCTGTAAAAAGGAGAGACCAAAAACCGCTAAAAGAATTCAAATTAGAATCTGGCTAAGGGCTTCTGAAATAACAAAAACCCACCTAGCGGTGTCTGCAACCAATAAAGCTTAATATGTACAATTAAAAAAAAAAAACAAAAAAACAGACGCTCTAAACAAGCGCTCTAAAACCATAGGAACTAAAAAGAGAAGTAAAGACACCGGTGAATGCTAGAAAACATTACAGAGGAAGACAAACAGGAGCAAAACAGGAAGCCAAACGCTTAAAATGGGAAAATAAATGAATAATTAGTCACAAGATAACGTGTCATTACCAGAAGCAGATGTTTGCAAAGCCCATAGAAAAGCTAAATGTTGCGTGTCTGTGGCACTGCGAGGTCGTGTATCACCATGGAAATCACTTCTGTTTGAGCTAAAAGAAGAACATGGGTTTTTTCCATTTATCTGCCAATGTTCTTGCTCTGTTTGTATCGGCGAGTTGTGTGCAGACTTCAAAAGGTATCATCTTTTTCCCGTTGCAGTGATACTTGCGTTCCTTTTTGCTTTATTTTCCTGATATCTACGTCGTAGTATAAGGAAAAACAATTTTAATTGGTCATCTTCATTTCTTTATCGAACACAGGACAAACACCAAACGATAAATTTGTCTTCGCAAATTTCCTTGCTCATGAAAGCTTCTACTTGAACATAACAAGTGTTGGGACAAAACTGGTCCAACACTCCTTTGAGTGCGCGTTCAAGTGTCTCCAGAAGGATCCATGTTTGTCATTCAACCTGGCAGATTCGAATGATAACATGGACAAACTGCTGTGTGAACTGCTTCCATCTGACCATTACACCCATTCAGAAAAGTTCATCGCCAACCATCTTTGGTATCACTACAGTATTGTGGTAAAATTATTTTTCTTTTTCTGCTTTATCTTATCCTCACGTTTTTTATTATCATTATTTCATCCTAATAATAACTTAACTAGGTTGAAATCGTTTGAGCAAATTTTATTCAGCTGTTCAACATTAATATATCTCTCTATGGCTTTATCTTTATTTTTTTATTCGTCGCAAGTCATTTCTAAGTCGTTTTATCGATACGTCATCGAAGTTTGTTTAACTGGTTTTTATCAAGGGAGTAAGAAATATATTTTCTCGGTTTTAGTCTCCTTGTTCGAAGTTGCCCTGTCAAAACAATGGAACTTGTGTACCTCTGTACCGGAAAAATAGCTATAAGTGTCGCTGTGCGAAAGCATACACAGGAAGCCACTGCGAGAAAGGTAAAGTTTTGGTTTCTAGAAGAATGTCTTAAAAAATATTTCGCTCGCGTGCTTGTCGTATCTGATTCCTACTGAGATATCATTCGTCGTCATTTTACTTCACACTGACTTGTTTTTGCAAACAGAAATTTTCCCATTTTAATTCATTTTCTCTATTCTTTTTACACCAGTTGATAATGACTGCAGCTGTTCATCAGGCCCGGAAGGAAAACAGAGATGCAAAATAGGTCAGTTAATATTCCACCTTCGAGTTGAGGTAGCTTGAAATTGTCTTCCGAATATATACTAAAGTGCTCAAAAAGTGTCTTTGCATTTACGACGTCCAACGAAATTTACGACGTCCAACGAAATTTACGAAAGTCAGACGTGTTTAAAAAATGATTAAAGTTTGAAGTGGGCGTTTCAAGGCAACCATTGATATGCTAATACGTGGGGAAATCTCTCTTTTCACAAGTTTTTGGATCGACCATGTAAAATCTTCTATAGATTCTTTCCCAGTTATAGAATTTTTTTTTTAGCTGTACGTCGCTGTCGAGTGAATGTCATCACGAAATTTAAATTCAGCCGCTTCAAAATCATGACTCCGTTGAGTTTACTCTTTCTGCTTCAAGTGAACAATTTACAGTAAAAGCAAGCTACAAATCAACTTTTACTGAATATATCACAATAATCTTACATCTGACGAATTTTCAGTGCGTTCTGAGCTATTATGTTAAATTTCAAACCAGTTCACAAATTAGCAAATTAAGAGTATTCTTTCATCATAACATCTCACGTTCACTAATTTACATTTTGTTTTGTTTTGTAAACCCTGCAAATGCAAAATTATGCAAAAAAAATTACATTTTTGTTTTGTTTTGTTTCGGAAATGGCTCTATAAAATTTGTCCTAACTTTGCTTTCTTGAAATAAAGCAGTGTACATTACATTAACTTTTTTTTAACTTAAAGACACAGTGAAATAGTACCTATTTGCATACGTCGTTTCCCTGTTCAACCGGATGGTAGGTATTTGGCAGCTTTTATCGTTTCCTTTTGTTCTAAGAAAAATGCCGTCAACTCTAATTTGCATAAATATTCAACTTCTAAGCACGTTTTCGTCGGATGGAAACGCAAATGTATGACTGACAATGTATTTAAGTTTTTGAACAGGATGATTGAATATCGGCTTCGTTCTTTCTTTCTTTTTTTATGGACCTTGACAGTCAATGGAAAAAAGGGAGAAAAAGAAAGAAGCCAATATTCAGCCATCATGACCATATAAGCTTTGTCAATAAAAGATTTATTATTTAGCAAGCGATTTCGCTTTATTTTAAAAGAATCACGAATCAAGAATGATTTTTCTACTTCGAGAGCCGTCGTGTTTGTAGCACAATAAACCCACGAGAGTCGATTATGTTTTCTTTGTTTTGTCTGTCCTCTGCCGATTTTTGCGACTCCACTGCCGGCATTGTCTAAAATCTACGAACTCTCTTAGTCCACTCGGGTAGTCAATCTGAACTCAGGATTCGCTACATATTGCCCACGGACGCTTTCAGCGATATGATGTATGATTCCATCTATTGTATTTTGCTGTAGTTTTGTCTCCTTCGTTATGCGATTAGTGTGAATATTTTAAGAAAAGTTTGTTCTTTTCCTACTGTGGCGAAATAGAAATGATCATTGAAAAAGGTTTACAATAGCTAAGAACACGTTGAAAATTCGTCAGATGAAACGTTATTGCGACAAATTTAATAAACTTGATTTAGAGCTTGGTATATGAATAATTTCGAGTAGCTAAAAATTTTGTGTAATTTTGAAAGGGCTTGATTTGATTTGATGTTGTTGTTGTTTCTCGAATGCCAGGATATAACCTCAACTGCAAAAGAGGAAATTTTGTTTTGAGCGCTTTGAATGCAGCCGATAGGTTTCTAGGAAAACTGTTCCTAGCTAAATTCTTCATCGACTTGTAAGAGATAGAGAAACCCATAGACTTTCCACTCGGATGAAACCTATACTGACAGAGTCAGCACAGCGGTCATAAGTCGGCATGGGCAAGGGCATCAGCCGGGTGCGTGCCAATTTCTCTCGCATAGGCAATATCGAGCCTGGGGTCATTTTGGCTCCTTGTCAGCGGTGTGATCGCCAAACAATGACCTCTGAGAGAATGAAAGTTTTACCCCAGAAATCGTGGGATTCTGGTCTTAGCTGCGCATGACAACATCCTTAAGTAATGGCTTTCGATTGACTGCAGCGCATGCTCAAAACAGAGCACATGGTCCTCTACACCAGCGGAAGAAAAGAAGAACGTAAGTTATTTTAGTGTACGTGAACTTAAAAGTCATCGTAACTGATCGAAAGTAGAATCTATATACCAGAAGAAAACACCGAATTTTTTTCCAGTGTGCCATCCGGTGCTCCTGGAAGTTTGGAAGTGAAAGATGAAAGGAAAAGTAATGGCCCTCTACCCAGTTTTTTGCTGTTTTCAGGTTCAAGCGCGGTTTAAAGTCGATTGCAAGCTAGTTAGTTCAGTAAAGATGGACTGTGAGTTCGTTTTTAAGAAAATTGGGCTCAGAGGAAAAAGAGAATGAGGAAATGGGACAACGGCAAACTGTAGAAGCGATTGATTTAGATTCCAGAAACGGCCTCCTGCTTCTACTCCTAATGCAACAGCTGATGATTGTATGGGTGACTGCACTTGAGCTGGAATGGCTACTACTTTGAAACTCTTGGTCTCGCCCATAACAATCAACATACAAGCTTTCCAACCTTTTCTTGACCTACTTAACAATGACAACATGCCAAACACGTTTTTTTGATACTGCTTTGAAATTTTCGTGTTTAAAAAATGATCTTTTGACCCCTTGAAATCTACTTTGTTATAATTTCGAGTGAGAACGATTGATTTAACAACTATTGCACTATTTACCTGTTCCAGATAACTTTAGGAAGCAAAAATAAAGTTATTATTATGTGTTATATTTGGAAACCTTTTAAGACTAATACTTGACCCTGAGTCTACTGAAAATACCTGCATATGAATCAAATATCCACACCCCTCTTGGAGATCAAGAGAAACAGTGATGCAATGATATAGTTTGTAATTTAAAAATTATTTTACATGATTCAGTTTGCTAAATCAAGTTAGGGTTGGTTGTTTTTTATACCGCTGACAAGGAGGCAAAATGATCCTGGGCTCGAGAGTGACACAAAGGCCGAAAGGGATACATAACAAACAATTGCTGACACGCAAAATATCCGGAAAAGCTTAGTGAAACTGTTATAGAAATCTGTAAAGAGACACAAAAGTAGGGCAGACTTTTCAAACTTAAAACTTATTTAATCATGGAAAAGGGGGTAAGTTTCTAAAGAAACTGTGGCGCTGCATCGCTACAAGAGTATAACAAGGTAATTTGGTATTATCAACTGAGTTGATAACGTATACTGGCCGACCGATAAGGCTTTCAAAGCTGACGTTTCGAGCGTTGGCCCCTTGTCAGAGGGGAGGGCTAAAATCTTAACAGTGGCCCTTTTACGTTATCAACTCAGTTGATAATACCAAATTACCTTACCTAATCATGTGTTTCCTGGCGAGTGAAGTAAAAGTCGTGATGCAGTAACAAAAGCAAAAAAAAGACACAAGCGCGTGCACGCACCCACACACGCTCACTATGTGCGCACGAAAGTGCACGCAACACACTCACAAACAGAAGCGCCCATACACGCACCATGTGTGCGCATAAGTGCACGCAACACACTCACCAAGCACCCACACACGCACGTACACAGGCGGAGGATAAGCTATGCGATGCGTTCATGTTTTGCCTTATGGAACTGAATAGCAAGTAAAGTAAGAGTCGAAGTATAGAAGGAGGGCATGCACTCATCAATGCACGCACGCATACATGTACGCGGAAACGCAAAAGAGGTGAATAGGCTAAGAGACACCTCCGAAATTCTATTCACTAGAGAGTGATAACTTCGTGTTTTGCCTTCTTTACCCTATGCTATAACTATGACATATATACGGCGATCTTCATATTCTACATTGTTAATAATTATATTATGGCCTTACATTGTTGATAAAGGCACAGCCCGAACCAGCTACCTTGCTAAGAAGCGGGGGCAAACTATGAGTTGCCCTTATAAAAAGTTGCGGGTCATTCAAAACTGAACAGCAAAGCAGGATTGTGACTTATTCTATGTTTCTTACAATTAAACACTGGTTGGCTATCGTCTTCGATAAACGTGTGGCATTTGAGAAGAACACTAGAAGATTTTATACAAATACTGGATACTTCTGAAGAGGAAAAAACTTTTAAAGAATGCGTGGTTGCTCAAACAAGTGTCTAAAATGTTTGCAATTTATTTCTTCTGTTATAGAGTACCTTATGGTGTTTCCGGAGCCGCGTTCTACAGAAAATTACGCCATGAAGAATCCAGCCATAGCTTCAGATCTCAGCCAGTTGTCGCTGTGTTTTTTCTTCAAACTTGTTCAAGACCAAGGGGATCAGATTTTCGTCAGCTATGCCACTAAACAAAAGGACAATGACATGATTATCGAGATTTATCCAACACAAACAGATTTTTATGTTGGCGACAAGTTGTTCCGGTAATGCTGGATATCGTGTTTTTTAACAGTCGGTCGGGGAATTTCTTATTTAAACCACATTAAGTCATGATACAGGAAATGCTACGATTGGCTCTTTCCTGACGCTTGAAGAGAGAGAGAAAGTTGAACATACAAACAAACGAAAAGCCTTGGCTTCTTTCTCTTTACTTATCATGATTTAAATAACAAACATGTTAATCTTTGACCAAAACAAATCTAGACGTATTTTCCTTACGCTTTGCTAATTACTATTCTGGTCACTTATTTAAAATGTGATTTAGATCACTATGCTCAATAGGACACAGAAGTCTATTAAGAGACGAGGATTCGTTTATTACGGTCCAGCCATAAAAGGATGAGATTTCTTAACCAACCCGGCTTTCGACATAGTAGCTCAGATGATACTTTGATATAGCATAGATGAAATTAGCTCATTAAGCATTTCATAAATAGAGAAAGATGTTTGTTGTCTTGTCACGAGCATGGGACCAAATAAAAATTTCTGATTCCTTATGAGGAATCGAACCTCAGACCTCCGGATTCTGCATTCCGATGCTCTACCACTGAGCCACAGAGACTCTACGGTGAGCAAGGTCTCTATTTTCCAAGTAATTGCATGAATAAGAGATTGATTGACTGACTGCATGAATGAATGAATGAGTGAATGAAAGCACTGAACGAATGGAAGCTTGACTGTACGAACCATTAAGCGATTGACAAACGATTGATTAACTGATTGACAATTTACTGACTGTTTTACGGACTGACTGACTGACAGACTGACTAGTTGACAGAGTGACTGACTGACAGGCCACTTACATATTACCTTTAACTGACCGACCCCTTACTGACAGACTGAATGACTCTACTGACTGACTTAGTGACAATGAAAATGGAGAGCCTTGAATAATCAAATATATTTTATATTGTTTGCTTTTTGTTTTGTTCTTTTTTTTTTTCAGGTTTACCTCGAAAAATCTCTACGATAATACCTGGCAACACGTGTGTCTCACCTGGGGAAACACTCAGGGAGTAACGAAACTCTATAAAGATGGCCAATTTACCGGACAGGAAACGAATCATGCGACTAAGAATTATACACTTAAGGCTGGCGGCTCCCTGGTGCTTGGACAAGACCAAGACTCTGTCGGCGGAGGCTTTGATCGTAACCAAACTCTTCATGGCCGATTGGCAAGTGTCAACATGTGGGATAAAGTTCTGTCCGAAAGCGACATTGCCGCTCAGTACACAAATTGCAGCGTACCTCATGGTTCTGTTATTAACTGGTCTGCATTCAAAAATCTTACTCATGGCAATGTCATAGTTGAAGAGCCATGAACTACATTGGTCAGTGATCAAAACTCTTGCAGAGCCTAAAATCGTAACTCGCGTGATGGTAAATTCCTAATATTAGTGAATGTACCATATGCCTGGCTGGATCATGTGACATAGCATTAAAATAGCAATATTATAGAAAACCAAAATACGAAATGATATTGCGTTGAAACGCTGCTTTTGTCTGAGCGGTTGGAAAATATTTCATTTATTTATTTACCTATTTATTCAGATGTTTGCCATTACGTTAAGACAGCTACTTGTTTTATAATATATTGTAAGCAGCCTTAATGACAGAAAATTTTTTTTTCTCTGTTCTGATTCATTCATGACACTCGAGAAGGAATTTAGAGGGCCTTTCAAGATCTTTAAAGATCCCAAAGAAATTTCAAACATTGAGAGGGTGACAAGACGAGCGCTGATACTTTGAATGTGCGGCTATGAAAGCCTTATAAAATGATAATCACATATGTCCTGCCGCATATGATAAGTTGTGATTAGGAGAAAAGCCCGCATGTCCCTAATAAACTACCGTGCTCTATCGCTTTTCGCAACCTCTTCAAATACTTAGGGTGTTTCTGTACAGTTTTTTTCTTGGAGTCCATGTCACTTGCCATCGAAAAACATCGCATGTCCTATAAGGGCCACAGAAGAAAAAAGATATAGGTAGGTTCTTTACAAATCTGATGTAAGCTTGCAGTAGTCTAGAAAATTCCAGAGTAAAATTAACAGAATCTGGAAATTCTACCGTTGACATCGTAATTTTAGAACTAGGGTAGGTACAATAAATGGATGGGAAGCCTTTAGAGGGAAAGTTTTATTGTTGCCTGGCCTACATTTTTAATGTTACCCGTTATGCAAACCCCCTTCCCCCTCCCCCTCCTCCCCCATATAGGATCTTGCACTACATCCCTTTTGTATTGTTACTTGAAAACTGCATTATATTTGTCTTAGCCAATCAGAATGATGAATTTTTTCATGTATGTTTTCAATGCAAATCCTTGGGCTCAAGATTGCGCACTTTTTGATTGAGCATCGTAAAAGTGTGAAAAAAGGGTCTGTAAAAAGGAGAGACCAAAAACCGCTAAAAGAATTCAGATTAGAATCTGGCTAAGGGCTTCTGAAATAACAAAAACCCACCTAGCGGTGTCTGCAAGCAATAAAGCTTAATATGTACAATAAAAAAAAAACAAAAAAACAGACGCTCTAAACAAGCGCTCTAATTACGCCATGAAGAATCCAGCCATAGATTCAGATCTCAGCTAGTTGTCGTTGTGTTTTTTCATCAAACTTGCTCAAGACCAAGGGGATCAGATGGTGGTCAGCTATGCCACTGTAAACCATCCCAATGACATACTTCTCGAAGTTTATCCAACACGAACAGATTTTTATGTTGGCAACGAGTTGTTCCGGTAATGTTGCATATATCTTTTAAAAGTCGGTCGGGGAATTTCTTATTCGAGCCACGATAAGCCATGACAGAGGAAATGTTACGATCGGCTTCTTCCTCTTAGATAGTTAATGTCTAACAGTTGGAGAGAGGGAGAAAGGTAAACATGGAAAAAAACGAAAAGCTTTGGCTTCTATCTCTTTTCTTATCATGATTTCAATACTAAATATGTTAATCTTTGACCGAAAAAAATCTAGACGTATTTTCCTTACGCTTTTCAAATAACCATTCTGGTCCTTTATTTGAAATGTGATTTAGGTTACTTTGCTTAGTAGGACACAAAAGTCTTTCAAATGGCAAGGACTCGCTTATTACGGGTCTAGCCATAAAAGAACGAGGTTTCTTAATCGACCCGGCTTTCGATATAGTAGCTCAGGTGATACTTTGCTATGGCAGAGATGAAATTAGCTCATTAAACATTTTGTAAGTAATCACATGATAAGAGATTGACTGAATGAATTAAAGAAAGCAATGAACGAATGGAACCTTAAATGTATCAAAGATTAAGTGATTGATAAGCGATTGATTGATTGACTGACTGACTGACCGACTGACAGTTCATTGACTGACTTGCTGACCGGCCGAGTTGCTGACAGATTGACTGACTGACAGGCTACTTACGCATTACTATAACTGACTGACTGACAGACTGGATTACTCTACTGACTGACTTCAGGGGAGGGTCTTGAATGATAGAATATATTCAATATTGCTTGTCTTTTGTTTTGTCTTGTTTTATTATTTTTTTTGTCTTTTCAGGTTTAACTCACACGGCTCAACAAATCTCTACGATGATACCTGGCAACACATGTGTCTCACCTGGGAAAACACAAAAGGAGTAGCGAAACTCTATAAAGATGGCCAATTTACAGGACAGGATACGAATTATGCCACTGAGAACTTTAAAATTACGGCTGGCGGCTGTCTGGTGCTTGGACAAGACCAAGACTCCATTGGCGGACGATTTGATCGTGAGCAAACTCTTCATGGCCGATTGGCAAGTGTCAACATGTGGGATAAAGTTCTGTCCGAAAGCGACATTGCCGCTCAGTACACAAGTTGTAGCGTACCTAGTGGTTCTGTTTTTAACTGGTCTGTATTTAAAAATCTTTCTCATGGCAATGTCACGATAAAATAGCCGTGAACTACATTGGTCAGTGATCAAAACTCTTAACGAGCCATAACTCGCGTGATGTAAATTTTTAATGTTAGTGAATGTACCATATGCATGGCTTAGTACTAAAATAGATACCAAAATATGAGAAGATATTTCGTTGAAACGCTGTTTTTGGCAAGTTACTTGAAAAACATTTCATTTGTTTATTTATTCACCCATTTACTCAGATGTTTAATAAAATAAATTAAAATAAAGGTAAGTTTTTAGGTGACCGGTGTTCGTTCGGAGTTTGTTTCCTGGAGTCCACATTAATTGCCAACGAAAAACATCGCATGTCCCATAAAAGCCCCCGTAGAAGAAAGATATAGGTAGGTTCTTTATGTATGCTTGCAGTAGTCTAGAAAATTCCAGAGTAAAATTTAAAGAATCCGGAAATTCTGCCTTCGACATCTTTATTTTAAAACTAGGGTATTTGCTATAAGTGGAGGATAAGGTTAGATGTAACAGTGAACGTTTAACTGTTGGCTGACCTAAACTTTCAATGTTAGCTGTTATACAGCTATATGCTTCCGAAATGACAAAAACCCTGCAAGCAATAAAACTAGATAAGTACGATTGGAAAAAAAAAAAAGCTTAAATAAACAGACGCTCCATTATTTTCTGAAACTTTCTGTTGCAGCAGAATTAAAACGAACTGAACTGGAGCTCTTCTGTACCATTGTTTTCTCCTGAATTTACACATCAAAAACTAGAGCGCTAATTGAATTAACAGCGACGAGAAAGAAAAATGAAGAAACCCAGAGGCGCTAGAAAACATTTACAGAGAAGACAAAAAAAAACAAAACAGGAGGCCAAACGCCTAAAAAGGGAAAAAAAAGTTAATGGCAAGATATCGCAGCGTGTCATTAACAGAAGCAGATGTATGCTAAGCCCCATTTATCTTTGAGCTACAAGAATACGATGGCTTTTTTCTATTTATCTGCCAATTTTCTTGCTCTGGTTGTATCGGCGAGTTGTATGAAGACTTCAAAAGGTATCATCTTCCGTTGTAGTGATACTCACGTTCCTTTTTACTTTATTAGTTCCTGATGTCTACATCGTGTTTTTAAGAAAGTATGGGCCAAAACAGTTTTCATTGGTCATCTTCATTTCTTTATCAAACACAGGACATGCGCCAAACATTGGGTTTGTCTTCACCAATTTTCTTTCTCACAAAGGCTACTATTTGAACATTACAACTGTTGGTATAGAACTGGTCCAAGACTCCTCTGAGTGCGCGTTCAAGTGTCTCGAGAAAGATCCATGTTTGTCCTTCAACCTGGCAGATTTGGATGATAACATGGACAATCTGCTATGTGAACTGCTTGCATCAGACCATTACACCCATTCAGACAAGTTCATCACCAACCATCTTTGGTATCATCACAGTATTGCGGTAAAATTAGTTATCTTATCATCACGTTTTTTTTTTTTCATAACATCCTGATAATAACTAAAACCAGTTGAAATTGTTTGAGAAAAGTGTATTCAAATTTTCAACGATAATATATCTCTCTATGGCTTTATCTTTACTTTTTTATTCTTCGCAGGCCATTTTCGAGTCGTTTTATCGATCCGTCATCGTAGTTTGTTTAACTGGTTTTATTAAGGGAGTAAGTAATTGATTTTCTCGGTCTTAGTCTCCATGCTCGAAGTTGCCCTGTCAGAATGATGGAACTTGTGTACCTCTGTACCAGACAAACAGCTACAAGTGTCGCTGTTCGAAAGCATACACAGGAAGCCATTGCGAAAAAGGTAAAGTTTTGATTTCTAGAACAATATTTTCAGAAATATTTCGCGCGCGTGCATGTGGTGTCTGATTCCCACTGAGCCATCATTCATCGTCATTTTACTTCACACAGATTTGTTTTTGTAAACAGAGATTTAACCATTTTAATTCATTTTCTCTATTCTTTTACATCAGTTGATAATGGCTGCAGCTGTTCCTCAGGACCAGAAGGAAAACAGAGATGCAAAATAGGTCAGTTAATATTCCACCATCAATTAAGGTAGCTTGAAACAGTTTTCCGACACACCTAGCTACAATAAAAACTTTCTCTTTACGAAGTCGCACGAAAGTCATACGTGTTCACAGTGATTGAAGTTTGAAGTAATGGGCGTTTCAAGGCAACCACAATTGATATGCTAGTACATGGGGAAATCCCGTCACACAGCTTTTTGTGTCGATCCCGTTAAATCTTTCATATATTTTTCTCAACTTAAGAATTCTGTTTTCTGAGCTAGACGTCGTTATTGAGTGAATTTCATCATATCATATTCAACCGTTTCGAAATCATGACTCCGTTGAATTAACTCTTTACCGTAAAAGCAAGCCTCAAATCAAGTTTTACTGAATAAATCACAATAATATTACATCTGACAAATTTTCAATGGGTTCTGAGCTATTGTGTTAAATTTAAACCAGTTCCTCGTGTCGAGAAGAAACTACAAACTAGCTACTTAAGAGTACTTTTTATAATTACATCACTCGTTCACTAATTTACAGTTATCTGTTGGTTTTCTTTCGGAAATAATTCTATAAAATTTGCCCTAATTTTGCTTTCTTGAAATACAGAAGTGTACATTACATCAGAATCAAGAATGACTTCGAGAGCCGTGAAAGAAAGCCAACTGTGTTTC